ATCACGCCATTGCACTCCAGCCTGGGTAACAAGAGCAAAACTCTGTCGCAAAAAAAAAAAAAAAACCAAAAAAAAAACCACCATCTGCCCTGGCCAGGCTCTGGGCAGCCTCCAGGGTCTCTGTCCTGAACACGATAGTCCCCTCCTGGTGCTGGAGGGCAGAGGGGGGACGTTAAGTCCAGTGTCCCACAAGTGACTGTGTAATTCCACATGGGACAAGAGGGAAAAAGAGCAGAGCTTCCCTTTTATTTTTATTTATTTTCTTTTCGTAAATTGAGACAGAGTCTCGCCCTGTCCCCAGGCTGGAGTGCAGTGGCGTGATCCCGGCTCATTGCAATTTCCATTTTCCGGTTTGAAGTGATTCTCCTGCCTCAGCCTCCCAAGTAGCTGGGTTACAGGCACGCACCACCACGCCCAGCCAAACAGACCTTTCCTTTTGTGAGAGGGACGCCGGTGTGGACAGCCGGGAGGGGAGAGGCAACTGAGCAGAAGTGAGGGTCACTGTGGTGCCCGGCACGTTGTCTCACACCTGTAATCTCGGCACTTTGGGAGGCTGAGGCTGGGGGGTCGCTCCCGCCCGGGAGTTTGTGACCGGCCTGGTCAGCATGAGACCCGTCTCTACTTTTAAAAATAAAATAAGATATTTTGGGCAGAGAGAAGTGACTGTGCAAAGGCCCTGAGGTGAGCGTCTGCCAGGTTTGTTCGAGGAGCAGAGGGGAGGGTGTGAGGGGGAGAGGGCCTGGGGAGTTCGTGCTCATCTGAGGGCGATGGGAAAGGGGTGTCGCTTGGGCCCCCCACATGCTGTGAGAAGAGCTCTTCCTTGCTGTCGGTGGGAGCAGCGGTGCGAGGCCTCGAGGCAGGGCAGGTGTGGGGGGCCCACGGCCCAGCCGGCTGGAGAACCTCGCAGCTCCCAGGCCCTTCTCCCCCTCCAGCCTCCCTGCCCTTCGCTGTCCTGTCGCTGGTGAACGCTCCGTATAAGCGAGGATTTTACTGCGGGGATGACTCCATCCGGTACCCCTACCGTCCAGACACCATCACCCATGGGCTCATGGCCGGGGTCATCATCATGGCCACCATCATCCTTGTAAGGCAGGAGGGGTTCAGAGGGACAGGGAGGGGGCGGGATGGGGTACAGCCTACCCTGGGTTCCTGATGGGGGGTGGCCTGGAGGTCTGTGGGGGCTGGGGGACACAGCCTTGCCCCGAGTGGTACTTGTGGGTAATAGGACCCCCCTTTTGTTTTTTGAGACAGAGTTTCACTCTTGTTGCCCAGGCTGGAGTGCAATGGCAGGGTCTCTGCTCAGTGTAACCTCCGCCTCCTGGGTTCAAGTGATTCTCTTGCCTCAGTCTCCCCAGTAGCTGGGACTATAGGCTTATGCCATCACACCTGGCTAGTTTTGTATTTTTAGTAGAGACGGGTTTCACCATGTTGGTCCGGCTGGTCTTGAACGCCGGACCTCAGGTGATCTGCCCGCCTCAGCCTCCCAAAGTGCTGGGATGGCAGGCGTGAGCCACAGAACCCGGCTAGGGCCCCTTTAGAGTCCCCAGCTCTGCAGCAGCCTTGGGGAGGCCTGTGGGGAGGACTGGGGCCCAGTGAGGGCCCACGGGCTGACCGGGACCCCCGCTGGTCGCTGCGGCTGCCACACGTGCAGGTCTCGGCGGGAGAAGCCTACCTGGTGCACACAGACCGGCTCTATTCCCGCTCCGACTTCAACAACTACGTGGCTGCCGTGTACAAGGTGCTGGGGACCTTCCTGTTCGGGGCAGCCGTGAGCCAGTCTCTGACGGACCTGGCCAAGTACACGATCGGCCGTCTGCGCCCCAACTTCCTG